GTGATCACGTATAGGGGACAAAAGCCGTGGAAAAAGAAGCTACTCATTGAGCATAAGTGGTTCCCGCCCACCGGGACAACTCCACCCACATCTCACTCCCTCATAGTACGTAAGATACATATACAGGGCTTATCAATTACAGTGTCGGGTGTACCAGCATCTCTACTCCCGCGCGGGATTCTGCATCTCTTCCGCAACATACTCTCTAATCATATCCAATCGACTGAGGGAGCCTTCCCACGCTCGCGGTGGGAAAGTGATCAGAGAGCCTGTTCATGAAAGAGGTGCATAGTTCAGGCGAAGCGGCCGCGCAGAAGCGGGGATACTGGGCACCCCACACTGCAGTTGGTAAGGCCTGTAAAGGCCACTGCATGACGAAGGCCCTTCAGCAAAATTAGTTCAGCGGTCGCGAACGCGGCGCGCGCGTATCTTCCCGTGGTAAACCTGCGCCTCATGCGCTCTGCGGCTAAAAAAGCCGCGTTCGCTCCCGAAATTGAAGCGCCTTCGTCATGCAGCGGCCTTTACCTATACTATAATGGGCAATTAGATTCAAATTCAATCAGGTGCTCCTAAAATCTTTCATGCACTTTGGCAAGCTGACTCACAGATACAGATCTGATCCTTTGCCTGGAGCCAGCGAAGAACAAATGCAGACGCTCCTCAAAAAGACCCTGTTTTCGAAACAATGCTCGCTCTTCAAAGGGAAGTAGCTGACTATACCCGCGAATAAGCTTAGCATTAGAAAAAGCGAGGTGCAATGAAGCTATAAGACACACAGCATTCAACTGCTAGAAAGAGTTCGAAGGATCTTCTTGACGTTTACAGGAGTTTTCTTTCAGTCCATGGTTATCAAGTCAAAGCCCTAATCTCCTCGATATTTGTTTAGGAGATATGAGGACAAATCATCATCGAACACCAGTTGTAACAAAGTGCGGCGAATGAGGCTGCGACGTCGCCTTTAAGAAAAAACCGTAATTTCAATAAGGATCTGTACCTTATGCAACATAGATACTTCTGGATACTATTAGGAAATGAGTTCTTGTTCCTATCTTTCA